TGTTCACAGCCAGGTTGGCTGAGCCTTGAGCAACCTGCTCTGGTGGGAGGTGTCCCTGCCCAGGGCAGGGGTTGGGGCTGGATCATCTCTAAACTCCATTCCAACCCCTTAACATTCTATGATTCTATGAACTCTCAAGTTGTCACTGTGTTCACAGACAAATATGTTACATATTTCCTACTGAACATCTTTCACCATCAACTTAATACATGTTTGATTCCCTTAGGTATTTGAAGACCATTGACGAGAAGGAAAAGAAATATAATATATATTTAGATACATATCTTGAGACCAGGTAAAGCTCTTGGACCTTTCAGCAATATTTACAGTTTTCTGCTTCACTCTGGGTAAAGGCTTAGAAAAAATCAGCACTTTAACCTGTGCCTCTTACTCTAAGTTAGTTTAGTTTTACTTAGCATGAGTAAATATTAATATTTAGAGTAATGAACATCTGTCTTTCCAACATCTCTTTCAAATTAAATCTGTGCTAGTAGAACAGCTGTAGAAACCATCTAAAAATGGCATAAATTTTAAATACTGCTCTGCTGTAAATGTTACTCAAACATTTAACTTCTTTTTATTTCACAGTAATAAATTTGCTAATGAGAAAGTAAAATTGGAAGAGCTTATAAAAAAGAGTCAAGATGACTACCAGGAGTGTGTGAAAAGAGCTGTTAAAGCAGAGGTACAAACCAAAAAACCCTTCAAAACCTTTTGCTAGAGCTTGGATCACTTGTGCTGTAGGAGGTGGGGAAGGTCCTATCAAACCTGTTCAGTTCCCAAGTGCTGTTCCTGGTGTTATCCCACAAAACTTTGCAGAACATCAAGGTTTATTATCATCATTATTATTGACCAGTATTAAAAGTGCACAGAATTTGGAGCCTATCCTATTGCTCCAAATAAAACTCAGCTGATAATTGACTCTTTTCCTTCTTGTTCTGAAGAGATTCCATTAGGAAGAAATAACCATAGGAACATCACAAATTCCTTGTTCCAAGTGATGATGAGTCATTGCATAGCTCCTTCCTTCTCAGGAAATGCAACAATCAACCTCTGTACTTCAATATTATTTTTTTGGCTAAAATCAGATGGTTTATGCTGGAAAAGTTTTAGATATTGTGACCAATTCTTCCTTCTTCAGAAGGGCTTGAAAACTGCAGAGGGTTTTTGTGCAGATAATGTTGGCCCACATTAGCCTGCAACCTTGCAGTATTTAAAATGCTGCCTTTCCTATACCCAAACAGATGTGTATTTCTGTACAGATGTGTGTGTAGACACAGGATAACCTGCATATGGAACATTTAAGGAGGAAGCAGAAGTCAGTGTGGCCTTTTTATCCTCCCCAAGGCCTACAGGGATGTGAATGCAATTCCTCACTGTGTGTCTTGGACTCTGTCACCAAACTCTTGTTTCAGATGCTTATTAAAATGTAGTTTGAGGGTTTATCCCTTGTGCTTTTGCTGCAGTTTGGGGTTTTAACACAGTTCTCTTTGGTTACAGGTATTAGTACTCCAAAACTGGAAGGAAACTGAAGTGTGGAAGCTCAATAACCATGTGAGCAAAGGGGAGGCAATTCTCAAGGTGCTCAAGTCCCTGAGCAGGTACCGAGGATTTATACCAGAAATTCAGTACTACTAGTTGCTATACACAACTACTAAGTGTTTAATCACAGTTAGTTAACTACAGGTCAGTTTTGCTCCCACAGAAATGGCAATGCCAACCTGAGAGGTGCAGGGAAATGTCTGAGTCAAGTGCAGCTTTCTTCAAGCTCAGTTTCTTCAGTCTGAAAAATTCCTAACATGGGTGATACTAAAGCAGGAGAAAGCTCCTTGTCCTCCTGAGCTGGGGAAAGATCAGGCACCTGGGAGCAGAGTTGGGGTAGCCAGGGAGCTGAGCAGGAGCCAGCAGTGTGCTCAGCTGGCCAAGGAGGCCAATGGCATCCTGGCCTGGAGCAGGGAAAGTCTTGGACTTGCTGTGTTGGTTTCTTCCTTACAAAGACCTAACTTAGCCCTTGATATCACCTTTTTCTTAAAACTTAAGCCATCTTCCCTTTCCCTGTCCCCATGTTGCTGCAAAATACTGATTCCCAGTTGGAGGAGTTCACTCCTGAGGGTTCTGAGCAGCAGAATTTACCTGATCTTAACTGGGAATTGCTTGGAGTCTTTAACTGTGATTAACTGGTGAGGGAAGAACTGTTGTACAAACACCATTGGTCTTAAATAATGAGGATATTGGAGTTTAAGTGCAAATCTTCACTACTTCAGCAGCTCAGCCTCAGCAGCTGCTGCACTGAAGTCACAGATTGATGCCTGGGAAATGTATATTTCAAGTGTCAAGAAACAAGTAGAAAAAGTAGAGGTAAGGCCTCATTTCCCTTAAGCTTTTCAGTTGAACTTTGGGAGTTAAAACAGGATCAATTCCTTCAATAATTTTGTGTTCCTTTTTTAAAACACCAATAGCTTTTCCTGAAAATAATGAACTAGAAAAGAAAGATAAAGTTTGTTAATTTACAATAAATATATTCAGTATTACAAAGGCAAAACTCTGTCCTTTACACACGAGCTTCAAAATTGGATCCCACAGGACCAAGTCTGGTATGTTGGTGCTTTTTTATGACTGGAATTGTTGAAATCCATGGAAATTGTTAAAAAAAAAACAAACCAGAAAACTGAAAAGTTCAGATGTAACATGTGAGTTTTAAATGAAGAGGCATCTGTGCTTAATGCTGAGGAGGAGGATGATGATTTGGCTTCCTTCTGCAGGCTGAGTATGAAGCAAAAATTGAGCTGGTGAAAAACGGTGCCCAGAATTGCCTCACTAAAGTGGAAGTTGTGGATATTCCTTATTCCGGTGTTTTGGTAAGTATCTTACCTTCCACAGCAGCTTCACTTCTTTACCTCTGCACTGGTGTGGCTGTCAGTGTGTCCAGAAAGGTCTGGAATGTACAGCTTTGTTCAGCAGTGAGCAGGATATCCCTGCAGCCAGGTGGTGTTCCAGAGGGAAGGGTGATGCCAAGGGGCATAGGGAAGACCAGGGAGAAGCACAGTCTGAAGTCCTTGGAGAGGCTGAAGCTGTTTAAAGATAACTTTAATCTTGAAAATGCTTCATTAAGAGTTTTGCACATTGTGGGTTTCCTGTAGCACCAAAATCAGAGAATCTCAGACTGGTCTGAGTTGAAGAGATCTTAAAGATCACCCAGTTCCACCCCTGCCCTGGGCAGGGACACCTCCCACCAGCCCAGGCTGCTCCAAGCCCCATCCAACCTGGCCTGGAACACTCCCAGGGATGGAGCAGCCACAGCTGCTCTGGGCAACCTGTGCCAGTGCCTCAGCACCTCACAGGGAGGAATTTCTCCCTAATATCCCATCTATCCCTGTTCCTCTCCAGATTAAGGCCAATCCCCCTTGTCCTGTCACTCCATGCCATTGTGAATAGTCCTACAGCTCTCCTGGAGCTCCTTCAGGTCTTGGAAGGCTGCTGTAAGGCCTCCCTGGAACCTTTTCTCCCAAATCCATGGGGATAAACCCCAGTACAGGTGATGACAGAATCATTTTGGTTGGCAAGGTCCTCTGAGATCAAGTCCAACATATGACCCATCACCACCTTGGCAACTAGCACAGAGCACTGAGTGCCATGTCCAGTCCTTCCCTGAACACCTCCAGGGATGGTGACTCCTTCCCCTCCCTGCACAGCACATTCAATGCCTGACAGCCCTTTCCAGGCAGAAATTTTCCCAAAGAAATTTTCCCAAAGAAATTCTTACACCAACATGTGTAGCTGATTACAAACACCAAACTCAACTTCCAGTAGGATGTGTCAGGAACTAGATGAAGTTCAACCATTTATGGAAATGCATCTGGAATGAGTACAGCCAATAATCAAACACTGTCAAATACTACTAGAAAACACTTTCTCAAGGGGCAGCGGTTCCACCAATGCTTTGCCAACTCCTGGCAGTTCCTTCTGAACCCTCTGAACTACCCTGACCTTGAGGAGTCCTTAAGCTACATTGATGTGACCTTCCAGCCCTTGGCATGACCAAATATGTCACAGTTCCTGCTGCAAAGCTCCACTTTCTCAGTGTGTTTTAATCACTGTTTTTCCTCTGAAATGTGTTTGCTTCCTAGACAATTCCAGTCGCTGATCCAGCCATTGTCACCTGTTCCTCTGCATCTGCACATCCCAGTTTGCTTGCTGCATTTTCAAGTTCTGAAGGTCAAGACCCAGCACAACCTTCACGTCCTGCTGAGCCTGGAGTGAAGCCAACACAGGCCAATCCTGAGGCTTGTTCTGCAAGTGGAGGATCTGTGAAAACACATCCCAAAGCTCCTGAAGGATCATACTCTGATAAAGTCTCACCATCTCGTCCATCAGGAGTTCCTGGAAGTAACCCTCAGCATGTCCAGCCAAACCATAACCACCAAGATGCCTCAGCTCTGCAACAGAGACCTGCTGGGCTTCCAAAAACACTGGAAAAGATGATTGCACAGCTCCAGAGTATATTCCCAAACTACAGCAGGTATTTGTTTTAACCACTATAATTCTGTGGGAGCAACAAGTTCTCAACAGCCAAGGATAAAGTACAAAGAGAGATGATTTCTTAGGAGGAGGTTTGTGTTTCACCAAGGAGCAGCATTAGTTGTTCCCATTCAGTGAGACATTCCTTCTCCTTTGTGGGGAAGGCTCTGGGGTGCCCTAACTGGGGCCTTCCAGTACCTGAAGGAGCTCCAAGAAGGCTGGAGAGGGCCTTTTCACAAGGACATGGAGGGACAGGACAAGGGGGAGTGGCTTCTTACTGCCAGAGGGCAGGGTTAGATGGGATATTGGGAATTTTTCCCTGTGAGGTGCTGAGTTGCCCAGAGCAGCTGTGGCTGCTCCATCCCTGGGAGTATTCCAGGCCAGGCTGGATGGGGCTTGGAGCAGCCTGGACTGGTGGGAGGTGTCCCTGCCCAGGGCAGGAGTTGGGGCTGGAGGATCTTTAAGGTCCTTCCAACCCAAACCATTCCATGATTCTGGGGTTATTGTTTAGGGTTTTTTACAACTGAAAGTAGATCTCAGACTGGGATCTGCTCCAGGTATTGCTCCAGGCCATGGGAAAAGTTGGTATCTGCTGGGAATCAAACAGGGAGACTCCAGTGTTCTCCAGGCTGTGCCTGCTGCCACAGCCAGTGATCCTGCTTTTCCTGTCCCTCCAGTTCTGACTTCACTATGTTCATAAGAGATGTCCAAAGAAGAAATGGGAACACACTGTCAGGTCTGAGCGTCCATGAAGTCCTAAACCGAGTGACAGAGCTCATCCTGGACCAGCAGAGTCAGGTACTGAGGGGCCTGGAGCTCTTGGAGAGCACAAACTGCCCTCTCCTGTCCATCTGTGAAATACAGATTTACTCCAAATCCTTTTCTGATACCCTTCTAGGCCCCAACTCCATCAGGGAGAGCTGTGAATTCCATGGGCTCTGCTTCTGGCACACGTAGTCAGGAAGTGCCTGGAAGAAGAAGTGCCCCCAGTCCTCCCAGAGCAGGACCTGCCCCTAAAAATCCCTCCAGTAACCACCCACCTCCACCCTGGGGAAACATTGGAGCAACACCTAAAGCTAAATGGAAAAAACAGGACGATGCAGTAAGTTCTCCATGTTTCAGTGAAGTCATTGTGCAGTTGAGACATGAGAAAATCAAAATTTTCTTGGGAAAAATAGTTGGTTTATTTTGTGTACACAAGATTTCAAATACTGACCATCTCCTGCACAGGCCTCCAGTGAGGATCCCTGCACTATATGCCATGATGCTATGAGCAGAGACTCCTGTGAGCTGGAATGTGGACACCATTTCCACAGAGAGGTAAGTTTGGTCACTGTTTCTGAACTCTCCCCTTCCCCTCCAGTGCTTAAACAGGGCACAGTGTTCTGCTCCAGACTTGCCACAGAGAAGGTCAGAAAGCTGCTGTTGTTTTTAAAAGTGAAATGATTGTTAATTAATGTGAATTTGAGATGATTTTTCAGAGGAGAGAGTTGGTTGGCAAGTCATGGAGTGTTCACAGCAGTTAGGGAATGTGCTATCCCAGCAAATCCTGCTTTGACCACCTGATAGCAGCTTCACGTGGAACCTCACACAGTCAGAAAGGATTCTCTTAGACCAACTCCAAGTTTGCCTGTGACTTTGCCTCTTTGCTTAGTGCTGCTTTTCTCCTGCAGAGCAAGGGCAGATGTGAACTCATCCAAGCAATTCCCTAACCCAGACTTTGCCTCCTCTCCCTGTCCTTGCAGTGCATCACCACGTGGCTCAAGGAACATTCCAGCACCTGTCCCATCTGCCGTGTCCACGCTCTCCTGCCTGAAGACTTCCCTGAACTTCCTGCATGGAACAAGTACACCTAAACCTTGCTCTGCTTAAACCTCTTCGAACAAGCTTCAGAATGGTGATGCCAGGAGATAAAAAGCTGCTGAGCTGGTTTGCTGAGTGTGGGTGTCTGTCTGTTGGGTGTGTGGGGGATGCTCCTCCTAGCACACCCCTCTGGGTGGCCAGAGTTATACTGCATTCATTAGCTGTGCATATTCAGCACTCAGTCCTGCACACTCCTCATGTCCAAGGGGTGTGACTCTCCTTACCCTTGCTCACACCTCCCTGTGTCTGGGGGGTCGTGAAGGTGAAGGCTCCAACTCTTCCTCCCACTTGAACTTTGCAACTTCATCCTCACAGTGTCTTCCTGGCCAGGATCCAACCCAGTCTGCAGCTGCTTAGTTCCTTTTGTCTACAGTTCCACATGAACTCCTAAAATAATCATCAGTTCATCTTTTGCAAATTACTACAATACTAATTGTTGTACAAATTAATTGGCAGAGCAGGCTCTGGTACCCAGGGTAAATAGGAAGTATCCTTGGGTTTCTTTGGGCACCAGGTGGGATTCATTTCTCAGAAGCACCACAGAACTCAGATTTACTGGCACTATGAACAGAGCTCAGGCTCAGTCAGGAGTTAACCTTGGCATTAAGCTGTACCACACAGACCCCAAGATCTAAAATCAGTTCAGGGCTGGCAGCACACAAAAATGAGCATTTTGGGAGGGCGAAGGGATATTGAAAGTACCAAATGACTTCACCTAAAAGGCTAGTGCATAATTGTAGGGAGGAGGGAATTTTCTTGCCCTCAGAGTTAGTTTCAGTGTGGTGTGAATCCTAAAATTAAACGATGAGGTGACCTGAAGGATGGACCAGCAGGATTGGAACAGCCCAGACATTCCCTTCCTCTGGCATAAGCAATTCCAGGTGAACCACAGGACTCAGCTCAGGCCTGTTGTGGTCTCTGTCAATGCAGTTCAGCACTGCAGCTCCTTCCCTGCATAAATCCATGGCTGATCAGTCAAACCGTCTAAATAACGACTTCTGGCTTCAAAATGCTACTGAAAGTATTGATAGGAGTTTCAATCACAGACTTGGAATACACATCAATCCTTGGTTTAACTTCGCCTTTCCCCACTGCTGTGTATGTGGGAGTTTCAGGGATTTGTTCTGGCTGCATTCCAGGCAGGATTGGGCAGCAGCAGCAGGGTGAGGGGCACAATGCCAACACTTCTCCCTCTGCTCTCAGGCTCTGAGCTTGCCAAGCACCTTCAGCCCTGTCCCCTCTGCCTCCAGTAGCCAAAAGATGAGGCCTAGACACTGCACAGCTCCAGCTGAGACTCACCTGTGCCTGTTGGCTCAGCACAGGAGTAGCTAACTCCAGAGATCACCTCTTCCCCTCAGTGATTTATACCCTCCAGATGCATCTTAAGCTACTCTGATTAATCAGTATATTAATTGAACTACTCCTGCAACCTCCTAACAGCTTTTTGTGTAGTATTTCTGCTCAGTCTGAGGTGCTGGTGAGTAACTGTGCTGTAGAGCTAAGACACTTTGCAGCCTGGAGAATTCCAGCACTTCCATCCTTCTCAGCTTGCAGGATGTTTGGTGCTGGGCATGGCCCTGGTGCCAGAGGGAGGTGGCAGTGCTGCACTTCTTCCACATCCATCTTCTGATACTGATCCCACAGCACCTCCTTCCAGGCTTGGAGCACCATGTTTTACACCTTCAGACACATATTACAGCATATCACAATTCCCATACCCTTCCAGTAGGGATAGACACCATAGAACAGGATTTAGGAGGTTCAAGAGGTCTTCAAAGGAATTTGGAACAAGTATGACAAAATTAAGTGAGGAGAGAAAGTTGCCACATACTGAAACAAGTTGGAGAATGCTACAGGGTGATTCCTTCAGGATTGGCCTGGGGAAAATATGGTTGTGGAAGGCAGAAGGATCCCTGCCAAGGCTGCCTGGACAGGTAAAGCCATGGAGGCTGTCACAAGGCAGAGGAAGTCTTGGCAAGATCAACTGACAGCACAGGTAGCCCCAGGGAGGAGGAAGTGAAGTCAGACATGGATAAACCTTCACTTGGCCTCTGAAGAACTTTATCCTTTTCCAGTTAAATCCTTCCATGATTCTCCTCTGGGTGTTTACATCCTGCAGAGCTTCAGTGGGAAGTTCTCTGTGATGAGGTGATCATCGTGCAGGAGGACAACAATGTTCACCTCAAACTCTGGAAGAAGGGGAAAGACAGAGAGAGAATTCCATGTGAAGCTGATGAAGCAGGAGCTACTGCTCTCAGCCACAGCACTGCATCCCAGACCTTGGAGCATTCCTGGAGAACCTTCTTCTAATCTTTGGGATTGCTCTGGGTTCATTTAGCACTGATAAACTGACAGAGTCTTCTGGACAACAGAGTTCAGACACCAAAGAGCTTTGGAAAGACACCTCACAGCCATTTGCTGTTGGAGCCATGGAAGTGGGAGAATTCCAGGACAGATTCCTTCCCTGTGGCCAGCATGGCATGAACAGCCTTAGGAAATGAAACACTGGAATAGAACAGGTGTCCAAACTATGGAAATTCAGAAGAAAATCTACTTTTTAGATACTTCATTGTGTCAAGGCCAAAAATCAGTATCAGATGGATAATCAGTCCCAAATGGAGACAGAACACAAAGTCAGGCAGAGTTAATCCATGAGAGATCCAAACAAACTGAAAACATTTGCTCTTTTTCAGTCTTCACAACTATACTAAGACTTTACAAGTAGAGACCATACCAGCAGCACTGCAAATTGCTGCTCAAGAGCTAAAAGTGCCCTGAAAAATAAAGATTGTTCTTATTTTGGGGGAAGTCTCTGCACACACATCCTGCACTGACAGATTCCAGCAGGATGAAGGGAAGAAACAGCAAGCAAAGTGAGGAAAAGCCTCATTTTGTTAAGAAAAAATGTTGGATTTTGCTTCTTCCTGCT